TATATATATTTATTTATTTATTGTTTTAAAAATATTTTTAGCTCCCAGCTGACATTCAAATAAACACATCTAATGTTTCAAAACAACAAAGTTTTGAAGCTCAAACGTAGTCACGTGTTGCCATATGTCCAACCTATATGGTTTAAAAGTTAAACAAATATTTATAGAAGAAAATAAATTTGTAAAGTTCTTTCAAAAATAAAGAAAAAAGAATCCTTCGGAATTTAGGTAATCTAACATTTGGCTAAACTATAAGAATTGTCAAATGACTGAAACAACAGTAATTTGGGTCGGTACCCATACACACTATTTCCTATTGGACTTTTCACGTCACAATTGGGCCGCAACTGTAAATAAACCAAAATAAATAAGCTAAAGATTTTGATTTTGTTATCGATGAAAATAAAATTTCCCTGCAAATTTTGGCATTTCTCTCTGTTTTATGCGGGTAAACAATACCAAAAAACTTTAATTTCAATACGAATACAAATGTGTCTCACTAAATGTAAAATTTTAGCAGCGTTTCAGCACGTAATAACTATTTGGTTCATGATATATACACCTCCTTTTTTCTATAAGTACACCTCTTTTAAAAAAAAATTTAAAAATTTAAAATATTCTTAATTTTTTTATTTTTAATTTTAAATTTTTTAATTTTACATCTACAACATTTAATTTAGTAATTTTTTTTCATACATCTTCCTTCCTTTTTTTAATTTTTACATGCACCCCCTTACCTTTCCTTCACCCCACCTAAAAAAGAAAAAAAAAAGTGTGTAAAAAAGAAGAAGAAAGTAAAAAATTGAAAGTTAAAGATGTAAAATTAGAAAATTAAAAAAAAAACTACAATATTTTATAATTTTTAAAAAAATATAAAAGAGGTGTACTTGTAAAAAAATGAGGTGTATATATCATGAGCCTAACTATTTATATTTAGACCGTACTAGGCCCACTAGAAGAGCCCAGTGGATCCTGGCCCACCAATACATGTAAGCATAAGACGAACAATCATATGTTTCGACCTTTGACCCAAAAGAAGCAAACCAAACCCACTTTGTATTTCGTCTTTACAAACCAAAATCGACAACCGAAACCCCAGGGATGGATCCAGGTGTACGAATGTAGGGCAATTGCCCTCCGATTTAAATTATGTTCATTTTAAATTTTATTTTTAAACTATAAATTAAATTCCTTGACTGAAAGCTCTCATTTTCTCATTATTTCAATTACAGATTCTCAACCCTCTCTTTACTCTTTCTAAAATACATTTTACATTTTTTTTTTACAAAGAATGACAAAATATTTCTATCAACACTTTGTTTCATTGATTTTTTTTTACAGCTTTTTGGTTCATAATTGAAGCATAGAATTGTGTCATTTAAGAGGTATGTATATAAATATTTTAATTTTTTTTATTTTAAACATAAAACTTAAAATAATCAATATAATTTATTGAAATCATGTATATATGCATTATTCAACCAAAGTTTGAAAAATAAAAGAATAAGCAGCTAAAACACGAGAATAAAAAAAAATTGGCATTAGAAGAAAATATTTTTTAAAAATAATTTGAAAATTTAAAAATATATTTAACAAAGGTAAATTTACATGCTTTAAATATAAAAATAGACTTTATGCTTTTAAAAAAATAAATAATTTATAATTTTATCTTCTCCTTTAAGATAAAACAAAAAAGATAATGTCTATGAGTATGAAGTCACTTTTTTTGTGATCTACTTCGGAGCATGATTTGCATCGTGCTTTTTGTTTACTAACCAAACCTATCCACCTTTGTACAAGCCTTCATGCCAAATCATTTTTCAAAATCAAAGTTCCTTGCTAGGAAACACACACAGGGGTTTGAGACTTGGGTAAAACAAATTTGACAAATTATAGAACACAATGCAGCCAAGATTCAACATATGAAACTAGTATAACATAAACATTAAAACACACATCCTAAATTAAAATTAAGACATAAATATTCCATAATCAACTTTGGTTATTGTAGACACAATAAAGTACAACATTAATCAATAACAAAAAAAATAAAAATCAGAAAATAATTAAAAGATACATACGCGAAAGTATTTTAAAAAATCCATATCACACACTAGCATAGCAACCATTTAGATGTATCAATGCACCCTACCCTACCTTCCTTCCCAAAATATACTAATATGAATTAAAACTACAATGTCACAAGAAAACACATCCTCTAGAATATAAGTTGATATCTTTGTGAATATATTCTTTTAAAGAAAAGACAATGGAAAGTCAAGTACAAAAATGAATTAGAACTTACTCCCAGGGAACATCACCCACAAGCATCCAATCGCCATCTTTGTCCTCTTGTAAGAACATATTCTGATCCATGAAGAAGGTCCTTCAACTTGGTTTCATTCAGCATCTCCCTGACCAGAATTCCATGAGATCCAGATTGACCTGAGATCATACCAAAACAAGCAGTAACTGGATCCAGGCAGACTGTCCATACATAAATAATTGAAAGGTTAAGTTTTTTCACATAAAAGTAATTCTTTCTTACTTATAATAAAACAGCTGAACATCTTTTCTAGAGCAGAAGATAATTCTGGATATGTAGAGTAATTCTTCAAGTCTACTTTCCTTAAATAGGGAGCACCATCCATACTGACCTTGATGAACAGTGCACCAACCCCCACTTTTCCATCAACTTCTTCAGTGCTCTTTGAATTAGTTGCCAATGAATTTTTCCTGAACGATCATATAGGAGGCCACCCCACAACCTGAGCCCTGCCACACAAGCAAGGATGATTATCGGCAATTTGCACAGTTAAGCTCAACTGCCAAAACTTAATGTGATCAGTTAGAGTTTTTCACTTACTTGGTAGCTGGTGCACTGCTATTATTATTTGCAGAACCATCAAGATTTGGTCTATTTTCATTGGCAGCAAGAGGCCTATCAAGCCCAACACTTGTTGTTACTTATTTCATTTTGGTTTGCTGAGTCACAACCTTCTCAGGGGTAGAACCAGGTTTTAATCCCATGTTTGAAGCAGGCCTTGGAGATAGTATTGGATTGGCCTCCGGATTAGCTAGGAATTTCCCCTGCATGATAGATTGGGGACTATTAGTGTCGGGCCAAGCAAGCATATAAAAAAACACATGTCATTCAAGTAAATTAGAGCAAGATACGGTACAAGCTTAGAAGGGCAATCGAGAACTTTGCTGCTGAATTTTTTATTTTTTTTTCAGTAAAGAAACACTCAAAAAGTTTTTCTAAACTTGTATATAAACAGACACTTAGTGTTTACCTCTGAGAAGCCGTTCATGGCATCCGAGAACCCTCTTTTGTTTCCCAGAACAGCAGTCTTGGCTGAAGAATGGTGATCATCAGTCAAAGGACGCAAAGGAAACAACAGTTTTTAATCAAATTGAGTCGAGCTTCTTAAGCAAAGATCAGAATCCCTTTCAGGAGACTGTGATCCAGGAAGCCCGAGCCTGAGTTCAGTTGCTTTCAGATTCAGATTACTTTTACTCTCTTCTGAAATAACACAGGCAAGATTCAATTATGCAATAACACAGGCAAGATGCTTATTAGGCAGGGACTGAAATAAGTCAGTGTAAAATATTCTCCAAACTCTAGCAATGATATGTTAGCTGCATTATATCCCGTGTATTCTTTCCTTTCTCGTCTTCTTTGTTTTTCCTTGAGGAGAATCTATCCACATAATTTCACCAATAAAGGAAAAACAATTTATATTTGATTTTCTTTTTCATGTTCATAGGTTCTTGCAAATAACTATAATTATGCTAAAGCATGTAAGAAAAGAATTCAATGGTAAGCAATAGCTTATACCCATCAGAAGGGTTCTAAAATCCCCATCTTGAGAATGCAATCCAGCAATTTGCACATTTCCTGTGCTTGTGGATGAGAATGATCACCTGCAAGAAACTCTTTAACTTCATTATCTACCTCTATTATGCTACATCCGGGCTTCTTTTTCATCCCTGTTTCTGAGATTCTACTCCTAACTTTGTTTGCCTCTGCATCCCACCCAGCTTCTCTATATATATTGTAAGTAAGAACGTGAGTACCACAGTCAGTGACGCCCATATCAAGCAACCTTTTCCACACCCTATTCCCAACATGAGTATTCTTATGAATTCTACACGCATTCAGAACAGCACCCCACACATTAGCATCGCCAGCCGCGAGTCCACCCATCTCCTCCATAAATTTCTCAGCTTCCTCTACCATGCCAGCCCTGGACAAAAGGTCAACAACACAAGCATAATGCTCCATTCGAGGAGCAACCCCATAAGTGCTGCTCATTTCTTCAAACAGCCAAAGGCCTAGCTCAACCATCCTTGCATGAGTACAAGCAGTGAGGACAGCCACAAACGTAGTTTCATTGGGGTCAGTCCCAGAAGCAGCCATTTGGTGAAACAACTCCAGCGATTTCTTTACATCGCCATTCAAAGCAACACCGGAAATCATAGCGTTCCACGCACCGGCATCCCTATCAACAATGCTCTCGAAAACAGACAAAGCAGATTCCACACATCCACATTTCGAATACATGTCAACCAAAGCCGTTGCCAGAATTGGGTTCGATTCAAGATCGAATCGCTTGGCGTAGGAATGCACCCACAGTCCCTGCGTGAGCGCACCCAGGTGCGCACACGCAGTGAGGACCGTGACGAGGATGGACTCGTTCGGCCTCGTGCCTTCGTTTTGCATCTCAGAAAACAAAGCCAGCACTTGCCTGAAGTCACTAACATGAGAATACGCTGCCATCATGGCACTCCACGACACAGCGTTTCTCTCAGGCATTTCCTCAAACACTTCTCTGGCACTTTCCACATTCCCCATTTTGCCATAACCGTGGACCATCGCCGTCCCCAACACGACATCTTTCTCTGGCGTTTTATCAAACAGCAGGCGTGCCGTTTCCACCTCGCGAGAAGCGGAGTAAAACTCGATAAACGCAGTGACGACGTAAGGGTCGTGGCGAAAGCCGAACTTAACGACGTGGGCGTGAACCAAACGGCCAACGAGGCTGGAAGGAAGCAGCGGAATGCAGGCCTTGATCAAGGGCGGGAACGTGTAGTTGTTAACGGCGACGCCGTTTTGAAGCATGGAGACATAGCAGGAGAGGGCGCGGAGGGGGGAACGGTTTTGGACGAAGGCTCGGATCATGGTGTTGTGCATGAAGGTGTTGCGGTGCCGGTGGGTGAGGTGGCGGAAGATGGAGCGGGCGTAGGAGAAAAACGACGGGTCGTTGGAGGAGGTGGCGGCCACGGAGAGAAGCGGGGCGAGGGCGTACGGCGTGTCGTTGATGCGGCATCGGAGGATGTGGGCGTGGAGTTGCTTGAGGTGGACTAGGCTCTTGCATTTTCTCGCCGCGGTTGTCAGGTGCATTTCTTCTATGCACTCCACCCCATCGCAATGTAACTATCAACATTCAAAGTTCAGTTAGAACTTAGAAACACTCATCTATAATATAAATTATTTCTCATATATATAAAATATAATTTATATATTTAAAAATATTTTTTTTTAATGTTTTAAATATAATTTATATATTTAAACATAATATTTATTTATACACATAATTTATTTTAAATTTTAGTTATATATAATAAACACTTAATATGTAGATTGTATAGCCTCAAATACTAAACATAAATAAATTTTATTTTCTTATTTTCTATACTGTTATCAATTTAAAAACACTAAGTAAATCAAATGTATATCATCTTCGTTCAACTAACTGTTAAACAGTTGAACCTGTTGAAGTTAAACTTCTGTATATAACAACATTAGTTCATTGACTTAAAAAAAAATCATTTTTTATTTATCATAATTATTTATAAATTAAATTTTAATATTTTAGATATAAATTATTAATAAATAAAATATATATTATACTACAATGTAAATTATTTATTATAAATTTAAAATATATTTTATATGTTATTGACAAAAAATATATATAAATTACGTATTTAAAAATAAATATTTATACAAGTCTTAAATATAATTTATATATTTAAATATATTATTTATTTTTATATATAATTTATTATAAATTTTAGTTATATAAAAAAAAATATTAGTTTGTGTATCATGCTAAACTACTAGTAATTAATTAAAAACAGTAAATGAGCAAAGAAAAAAATTAAGTCCACTTGTAATACATATTATTTTCTTTTAAATAGTAATGCATATGTTTTTCTTTAACTAATGAGGGTCATTATGTAAAAATATTACATAAAGGAATTGTTTTAAATATTTTATCAATTTGGTATAGTTAACAAAATGTTGTTAATCAATGCAATGTTACTATGTGTCACATTATTTAAACAAATTTAAAAAATTGACTCAAAAGTAGAATTAGAGTTGTGTGTCAATGATAATTTCACATGCAACTCTAATGACATAGTAAAAAAAAAAAAACTAAAAACAAGTATTATTACTCCTAAGTGGGACATTAATTTTTTTTATAAATGTGGTGTCGTTATCTTTATTGAGGAATTAGGTTTGTTTATTATTTTTAGGTAGTGTTGCTACGTCTTGTTGGAGATCAATTTTTTTTTTAAATATGGTCCTATTATTCTCATTAGGAAACTAGGTTTGTTTATTTACTTTTTTCTTATAGATAATGTCATACTTCTATTGGAGATCATTTTTGAAAAAAAAATATGGTCCCGCTACCCTCACTAGGGACTACTTTTGGTATCTTTGGATACCTTTGTGTCACCCTCCAAATTTCGTTTCTTCTCTCAATATCTTACTTTTGTTTTTTATCATTCTTTGCCTTGTCCTCAACAAGAAAATCAATAGCAAGCCCCAATTTTTGAATGTTTATCTTCAATGCTTTCTTTGCATCTTGTCCATTGAAGCCCATGTTCATAACAAGTGATAAGGCTTGATATGAAGATAATCGTTATGCAAAATGTGAAACAAAGGTAATCCTCCCCAATAGAGATAGCAGAATTATATTTTAATTAAATAATTAATCTTTCAATGTCGTACCAATACTAATTACAAGGGAAAAAAAATAAACAAGCCTAGTCCCCCATTGGAGATAGTATATTTTAAATAAAAATTGATTCTCCATTAGGAGTAGCCATACTACCTAAAAATAAATAAACAAATCTAGTCAATCACTAAAAATAGGAGTACTATATTTATAAATAAAAAAATTGTTGTTTTGTTTAATGATAACAACACTTATTTTTAATTTTTTTATCATAAGTATCGTTAGAGTCACATGTGGGATCATCGTTAACACACACAATTATAATTCCACTTTCTATCAATTTAAAAAAAAATTAAAAATGATGATATTTGATGATGTTGCATTGACTAACAACACTCTCGTTGACTATATCAAAATAATAAAATGTTTTGAAATTATCTCTTTTATATAATATGTTTACATAATAACTTTCTTTGAGTCAAAAAGTCCAACACACATCTTTATATAAAATGTTTTTCCTGATTTTTTCATTAAAAATAAAATATAAAATAAAAATAATAATTGTAAGGAAATAGGTACTTAGGACATTGTCAATAACCTTTTACAAAAACTCTGATTGTGTTTAGATAAAAATTAGGAATGTACTATTGAGAATTCTAATATATATTCTTGAATTCCAAGACATAAAATAAATATTTTGTAAATTTAATCATTAAATTGAAAGTTCATATCACTTTAAATGTGTATATCAAATTTTGTTAAAATTGAACAATAACTTGAAGGTAATCAAAGTGTTCATATATATATAGTTTTAAAAATATTTTTAGCTCCCCAACTGACATTCAAACTTACTCCCTTCATTTTCTATTCATAGTCGTTTAAGGTTTTGCACGAGACTTAAGGAAATGATTGATATTTTAGTTTTCAAAAATATTTATTATTTACTTTCCTATTCTACCCTTTATTTTTTTATAGTATTTCGTTGGAAACATATTGTCTTTTTAAATGCAACATTAACTTCACATAGGTGGTTGGAGAAAAAATAAGTAGACATTAGAAATAAATAGACACATTGTTCAGTAAACATACATTAATTATCGGGGGTAAAAATGAGAAAAAAAAATTAATAAGTCATTGATTTTTGTAAAATAACAATGAAAAAAAAATGATAAATTATGATAAAATGACTGTGAATAAAAAATGGAAGAAATACACATATAATGTTTGAAAAAAACAAGGTTTGAAGCTCAAACGTAGTCACGTGTTGCCATATGTCCAACCTATATGGTTTAAAAGCTAAACAAATATTTATAGAAGAAAATAAATTTGTAAAGTTCTTTAAAAAATAAAGAAAAAAGAATCCTTCGGGATTTAGGTAATCTAACATTTGGGTAAACTATAAGAATTGTCAGATGACTGAAACAACAGTAATTTGGGTCGTTACGCTTACACACCATTTCCTATTGGACTTTTCATGTCACGATTGGGCCGCAACTGTAAATAAATAAGCTAAAGATTTTGGTTTTGTTATCGATGAAATTTTGTTTATTTTATTTTCTTGCAAATTTTGGCATTTCTTTCAGTTTTATGCAGGTAAACAATACCAAAAATCTTTAATTTCAAAATACGAATACAAATGTGTCTCAATAAATGTAAAATTTTAGCAGCGTTTCAGCATGTAAAAACTATTTGGATCATGATATATACACCTTTTTTTTTTTTTTTTTTATAAGTACACCTCCTTTTTAAATTTTTTTTTTTAAAATATCTTTAATTTTTATTTTTTAAAATTTTTTAATTTCATTTATAACATTTAATTTAACACTTTTTTTATATACCTTTTTCTCTTATTTTCACATGTACTTCCTTAATTTTTCTTCACCCTCACCTATTTTGGTAAGTAATTTTAATTTTTTTAGTTTTACATTATTTTTTCCCCTTCCTCTTTCAATTTTCTCATTGATTTCACTATTCGCATAATACTCTATAATAGTGAAAATGTCTTTTTCATAACACTAAACTTAATGTTAGGGTTTTTGGAGAGGTGAAAGTAAAGGAAGTGTTGAAAGAAAAAAATGTATATCTAGTTTAATAAAACCTGTTGAGGAAGCTACACGTATCTACAATATTTTTACCTACCAATTCTATGATTTGGGTGTATGTAAAAAAGTGAAAGATGTGAAAAAATAAGAGAGTAATATAAAAATCGAGAGAACTAAAACTATCTACTAAAATAGGTGAGAAATTAGAGGAAGACAAGATGGTGCATATGAAAATTGGAAAAGAGAAGGAAGGAGGTATATGAAAAGAAAAAAATAGTAAATTAAAAGTTAGAGATGTAAAATTAAAATTTTAAATAATAAAAAAAATTATGAATATTTAAAAGGAATTAAAAAAATAAAGGAGGTGTATATATCATTAACCAAACTATTTATATTTAGACCGTACTAGGCCCACTAGAAGAGCCCAGTGGCTCCCGGCCCACCAGTACATGTAAGCATAAGACGAACAATCATATGGACTATACCAAGATAATGTTTGGCTGATGATAAACACACCTCCACTCTCGTATAAACACACCCCTTTTTAAAAAAATATATATAAAATGTCTAAATTACCCTTTTAAAAAAATGAAATTATAAAATTTACACCTCCCTTCCCCGCACCCCCCTCCCCCGCACCCCGCACTCCACACCCCTCTTCTTTTCAAAGTCTATTTCCGCTCAATGTCATTAAGTAATATACTTTTACAGTCATTCTGAATAGAAAAAAAGGACTAGCCCCACCATAACCAGGATAAGCAAGGCTCTTTTACAATCATTAGCATTCCGGAAAGTACTTTTACAGTCATTAGCATTCCGGAAATTACTTTCCGGAATAGAAATTATTGTTCATATAATTCCGGAAAGAACTTTCCGTAATAGTAACTTTAATATTATGAAAAGTACTTTCCGGAATTATGTAACAAAACATTTCCGAAAAATACTTTTCGGAATAAAAATTTAATATTATGGAAAGTATTTTCCGGAACATTTTTATATAATTCCGGAAAGAACTTTCTGTAACAGTAAGAAGAAGAAGAAGAGGAGTGCCAGAAAGAGAAAGAAGAGGGGTGTGCGAGGTGTGGGAAAAAAAAGAAGAAGAGAAGTGCCACAAAGAGAAAGAAGAGAGGTGCGCAATGTCAGCAGGTGGTCTTGTAAGAGAAAGACTCTTACTTGTTCTATGGAAAGAAACACTAGTACAAAAATGACTTTTAAAATCGGGGTTTTAAAATCAGTCATAAGGTAGCCATTTTAAAAGTGACGCGGTGGCCTGTACTGCAACAGAACGGCCCGTTCTACAAGCAGAATGACCTGTCCTGCTTTCAGAACGGCCCGTACAGCAAGCAGAACGGCCCGTACTGCAAGCAGAACGGCCCGTACTGATAGCAGAACAGCCTGTACTGCTTGCAGAACGGGCCGTATTGATTTCAGAACGGGCCGTTCTGGTGCCGTTCTGCTTGCAGAATGGCCCATTCTGGTGCCGTTCCAGACTAAAATTTACATGCAGATACAGGATAAGGGAGGTGCGGTGAAGGGAGGTGTAAATTTAAGAATTTCATTTTTTTAAAGGGTAATTTAGACATTATATATATATTTTTTTTAAAAAAGAGAGTGTGTTTATACGAGAGTGGAGGTGTGTTTATCATCTGCCTAATGTTTCGACCTTTGACCCAAAAGAAGCAAAACTACCCACTTTGTATTTCGTCTTTACAAACCAAAATCGACAACCGAAACCCTAGGGATGGATCCAGGTAGGGATGACAAATATACTCGTACCCGCGGGTAATACCCGAACCCGTCCCGACTTTGACGGGAAATACCCGGTTTGACCGGGTACGGGTACGAGTAAAACCCGATATTTAAATCGGGTACGGGTACGGGTACGTGTATGTACTTACCCGCCCCGTACCCGTACCCATACTCGTCCCCGTTAATTATAATTATAATATAATAAAAAAATAATTTAAAAATATCATATTTTTTATAAAAAAATAAAAATAAAAAAATTGACGGGTACGGGTACGGGTACGAGTATACCCGATACCCGACGGGGACGGGGATAGGGATGAAAATCACATACCCGACGGGTACGGGTACGGGGACGGGGATAAGTTTAACTCGCGAGGATGGGGACGGGTATCATGAAACTCGTACCCGACCCGCCCCGTTGCCATCCCTAGATCCAGGTGTACGAATGTAGGGCAATAGCCCTCCGATTTAAATTATGTTCATTTTAAATTTTATTTTTAAACTATAAATTAAATTCCTTAACTGAAAGCTCTCATTTTCTCATTATTTGAATTCGAGATTCTGAACCCTCTCTTTACTCTTTGTAAAATACATTTTACATATTTTATTTTTACAAATATGAAAAAATATTTCTATCAACACTTTGTTTCATTGATTTTTTTTTTACAGCTTTTTGGTTCATAATTGAATCATAGAATTGTGTCATTCAAGAGGTAAGTATATAAATATTTTAATTTTTTTATTTTAAACATAAAACTTAAAATAATCAATATAATTTATTGAAATCATGTATATATCAATTATTCAACCAAAGTTTGAAAAATAAAAGAATAAGCAGCTAAAACACGAGAATAAAAAAAAAATTGGCATTAGAAGAAAATATTTTTAAAAAATAATTTGAAATTTTAAAAAATAAAAATATATTTAACAAAGGTAAATTTACATGTTTTAAATATAAAAATAGACTTTATGCTTTTGAAAAAATAAATAATTTATAATTTTATCTTCTCCTTTAATTTCTTTCTTTTTAACTATTCAATCATAATTTTTTTAAATTAGATATATTAATATTTTAAAAAAATTATATATATGGGCTTCATAAAGTGAAACTAGTGGGTACATTCCCTCTTCATATTTTGCCATGGTCAATAAAGGTTCACTATGCACTCCAAGTTAAACCATTATTCTTTAATTATTTATTAACAATTGAAATATTATTCCTTAAAATAAATTACCCACTTTAGAAAGAAGGTAAATCCATAAAATAAAGCACACAAAAGAAAATCCGTAAAATAAAAATAAAATACCAACCAGAGCACACAATGTTTTAATTTAGTTGATTACTGATTTCAATTTCAAACTACTGTGAAACCTTAAGATTTAATAAAGAAAATATTGTCATTAATAATGATTTAGGGACCAGGGTCCTTAAATGAGAGATAGTTTTAAATATATTAATTTGAACATAATTATAAAAAAATAATCTACGACTATAATATTCTCATGCATGTATTTATTGAATCAAAATATTCTCATATAATATCATAGGCTAAAATAAGGATTTGGTCGATAAAAATGTTATCATTCCCGGAACTGAATAATATTCTATTCGTTGGCTTCCCATAAAAGCCTCCTAAGTCCGTACAGAGACATATTCCACGATCTATAGCTTTCCTGGTGATACATTTCTAAATTAAAACCATGCATATTCTTATTCTTTTCTCTCTCTTTTGTCAAGGAATAGAGGATACGAGACGGGGGAAAAGTCCAGAAGATAAATATTATTTTGCTGGAAATTAAATGCTGCTACTCCTCTTGGATGTCTCAACTCAACCACTTGAGCCAGATTCTTTTCTTGAAATGGACTTACCCTTTATCATTTTTCTATCTAGTGGACTTCAATTTTTGACAAGTCTCACCAACTAATTCTGCACACTAAACATGAGAATACTCATCTCAATATAATATGTTACATACTCAAGTCTGAAACAACTTCGTTAAAAAACAGAATAAGTACATCATTTTTTGTGTATCTTTCTCCATAATAAATGGAATAATATCTTTTCCATAATAAATAAAAGTAATGAAGATATACAAAAAATAAAATACGGCACCCAAGAGCTTTATTTCATGGATTCTGATCAAAAGCATTAGATAAAACCGTGGATAAGATTTGCAATATTTGAATTTTCTTTGTTCCTCAAATACTATGAACCAAACCGACGGCACGTGCTCTCTTGGCTGTGTTTCTGTAACGACGGTGGACAAAGAGAATCGTATGCATATGATGAATGTGACTGGACGCATTTCCCAAACGAAAGGTACCTAAACTCACTTTAATTTGTAAGAAACCCCCATTAACTTTAAAGGACCTTGACCACCACGTACAACAAAATTATCTATTAAACCAGGAGTAATAATCATAAGCCCTTTACTTATTTCAGCATCAAAGTGGGTATCTAAATTTTAGTTTAATAGCATAAACTGAGGCATGCAAAACACTAGAGACTAGGGTAGTAGTAATAATAATGGTGAAACACGTTGGACCATGAATGGTGAACCTGAATAGTTAACATAGAACTAGAACCACAAAAGGTTAAACATTGCTCATAATTCCACGCCACTGCTGTGCGTTGGTTTAACTGAACAGTAAGATCCATGCACAGCAACCAATGGTCAGAGCTTCACATGCTTGGCTCCTACAAACCCCCGACAACCATATCCAATATGTCTTTACAAAATCTAAACACTTCAAGGTCCAGGCTCAAACCTCAATGCTTCACCAAGCACAATTTTATGTTTGTTTCTAAAAAATGGTGAGAAAACATGGGCCAAAGCACTAAAAAATTCATGATCAGAAACATCTACCTAGCTTGGGAATTCAACCTTTTTCGTGTCAGGTTTTTTTTGTTAGATCCTGACAACCGTATGCAGTTTGGTCCAAACAGGTTAATGACTTTGAAAAGTGGCAAACAGTACATGGCAAGTGACATACTGACACATACAACTTGTTTTTTTTCTTTTTTCACACAAACATAGGACACCCCGTTGAAGGTACGCTGCAAAATTTACACATTACAGATCCTTCAACCACATCATTAACTCGAGTACATAGAATATAGGTACTCCCACAGTCAAGTCTAGGAGTTTTATAAGTTTTCACAATCATGAAAAGAAGCTTACTAAGCATAAACGCCGTGACAACACAAAACAGACACCAAACAATACAAGGGTTAAGGCAGCCTAGTATGAGATTCTATCCAGTCCAAAATGCCTTCGGTTTTCGCTTCCAAGACACAACATGTTCTTGATTTTGTTCCACCTTCATCGCCCAGAAGCTTTTAATCCCGCAGATAGTTAGTTCCTGGTCCTGCTTTTTTCAACAGCCCTGGGAGCTGTGCAAGTAGGCACACAAATGTAAACTTAAACAAGATTATATGTATAGATTAAAAACTTTGAGTTCAACTCATGGACATTAACAAACGTTGAATGTAGATTTCAAACAACTGGCATGGCATGGGAAAGTAAAGTAATTTCAACTTGGGTTCTATGTTTCTTTATTTCTGCCCCAATCTGAGCTCACATTCATAAAGCATTTTCCTAAATATGGAAAAATGGCTCACTTCTAACCATATCTGACCACGCCTTTTATCATTTTTTTAAATCATATAATGAAAAACGAATTCCTTGGGAAGAAGTTACTTATTTTCAAACTTAAATTTTCATTCTGCCACTGTTGCAAAATTGAACAACTACCAGGCAATATGAATTTTTCGTTTACATGTTGAATGTTAAACTTCTATTTAACCATGTGATGTGTATTTAATTAATAAACCCGGGGCATATTATACATTTATTGCTTTTCCTTTGCTGTATACTTCCCCAACACCATTTTCAGACAAGTATTATGTTAAAGTTAAACTTATAAGATAGATGGTGTCGATAAAAACTAACCTAGACCAATGGCATCAGAACTCTTCATGATCCTTAGCCTCTTGCAAGTTTCAATAAACATCCTGCAAAAAGAGCAGACATTGTTTGAAATTAGTTCAAACTGAAACAAACATTATGCAACTTCATTTCATGAAAGATATAACAGGGCATGCAAAAGGCTTAACCTATGAAATTGAATGTAATCCATGTAAAACTATACATTATTAGGAAACGAGAAGATATAACATTATTGAAACCACAATATTTCACTTGCAGTAACAGTTTTTAACAGCTATTTATAACAACTGAAATTTGTCTCAAGTATTAATAATTTAAAATTAAATTGGTCTTCAGAAAATTCCTTTGAAAATTCTTAAACAGATGATAACACATGAAGGACAGTTACTCTGCATGCAAGACTATGCAGGTTCTAAAACAACAGAATCTTTTTTCCTTGAGTAATCAAAGCAATGTTAAAGCATACACATTAATGCTTTTTTATTTCTATTGCTCTATTATGCCTCATATACATGCTCCTAATATGTTTTAAATCACCTATCTTACTCCATAGGGTTCTGCTAAAACAAGAAAATGATTCCACGAACCTCAGCCATAGGTTAAAAGCCATTTCTATAATATTTTACAGCATGCTACATTAAATAAGCAAAGATAATTGTGGCTACTATTGTAAGTTTATATGTTGTGGTAGATCCTTCCCCAGCTTAGACGTATTAATCAAGTAGAAGTGTAAATTGTTAAGCATTTTAAGATAAAACAAAAAAGATAATGTCTATGAAGTCACTTCTTTTTTTATCTACTCCGGAACATGATTTGCATCATGCTTTTTGTTTACTATCCAAACCTATCTCACCTTGGTACAAGCCTTCATGCCAAATCATTTTTCAAAATCAAAGCTCCTTGCTAGGAAACATGCACAGGGGTTCCAGACTTGGGTAAAACAAATTTGACAAATTATAGAACACAATACAGCCAAGATTCAACATATGAAACTAGTATAACATTAACATTAAAACACACATCTTAAATTAAAATTAAGACATAAATATTCCATAAGTCAACTTTGGTTATTGTAGACACAATAAAATACAACATTAATCAATAACAAAAAAAATAAAAATCAGAAAATAATTAAAAGATACATATGAGAAAGTATTTAAAAAAATCCATATCACACACTAGCATAGCAACCATTTAGAAGTATCAATGCACCCAACCCTACCTTCCTTCCCAAAATATGCTAATATGAATTAAAACTACAATGCCACAAGAAAACACATCTCTAGAATATAAAGTCGATATCTTTGAGAATATATCCTTTTAAAGAAAAGACAATGGAAAGGCAAGTACAAAAATGAATTAGAACTTACTCCCAGGGAACATCACCCACAAGCATCCAATCGCCATCTTTGTCCTCGTATGTAAGAACATATTCTGATCCATGAAGAAGGTCTTTCAACTTGGTTTCATTCAGCATCTCCCTGCCCAGAATTCCATGAGATCCACATTGACCTGAGATCATACCAAAACAAGCAGTAACTGGATCCAGGCAGACTATCCATACATAAATAATTGAAAGGTTAAGTTTTTTCACAGAAAAGTAATTCTTTCTTACTTATAGTAAAACAGCTGAACATCTTTTCTAGAGCAGAAGATAATTCTGGATATGTAGAGTAATTCTTCAAGTCTACTTTCCTTAAATAGGGAGCACCATCCATACTGACCTTGATGAACAGTGCACCAACCCCCACTTTTCCATCAACTTCTTCAGTGCTCTTTGAATTAGTTGCCAATGAAATCTTCCTGAATGATCTTATAGGAGGCCACCCCACAACCTGAGCCCTGCCACACAAGCAAGGATGATTATAGGTAATTTGCACAGTTAAGCTCAACTGCTGAGACTTAATGTGATCAGTTAGAGTTTTTCACTTACTTGGTAGCTGGTGCACTGCTATTATTGTTTGCAGAACCATCAAGATTTGGTCTATTTTCATTGGCAGCAAGAGGCCTATCAAGCACAACATTTGTTGTTGTTACTTCTTTCATTTTGGTTTGCTGAGCCCCAACCTTCTCAGGGGTAGAACCAGGTTTTAATCCCAAGTTTGAAGCAGGCCTTGGAGATAGTATTGGATTGGCCTCCGGATTAGCTAGGAATTTCCCCTGCATGATAGATTGGGGACTATTAGTGTCTGGCCAAGCAAGCATATAAAAAAACATGTTATTCAAGTAAATTAGAGCACGATAGGGTACAAGCTTAGAAGCGATATGGAGAACTTTGCTGCTGAAAAAATTCTTTATTTTCAGTAAAGAAACACTCAAAAAGTTTTTCTAAACTTGTATATAAACAGACACTTAGTGTTTACCTCTGAGAAGCCGTTCATGGCATCCGAGAACCCTCTTTTGTTTCCAAGAACAGCAGTCTTGGCTGAAGAATGGTGATCATCAGTCAAAGGACGCAAAGGAAACAACGGTTTTTCATCAAATTGAGTCGAGCTTCTTAAGCAAAGATCAGAATCCCTTTCAGGAGACTGTGATCCAGGAAGCCCGAGCCTGAGTTCAGTTGCTTTCAGGTTCAGATTACTTTTACTCTCTTCTGAGAAGGACGGAACAGAGCTGTCCACAGAAGAACAATCAGATAATCCCATGTAGTTGCGCTCTTTTAATTCTAAGCTCTTGAGAGACACACTTTCCATGGTGGTTGAGGAAACCAACAGAGTGACATTGCTTTTACCCTCCTCCTCCCCTATGCTCAGCACTGGTGGAGACATCACAGTTTAACACAAAGCACCCAATTTTGTATACCCTATCAAGCAATGACACCATTTGACATTGTTCATAAGCAAATTGAGTTTACAGTAATCTCAATATTATCTTACGTTACATGCCACAACCTTCAACCTCGGCAAACAAACAGGAAACAGAAAAGGAACACTGAAAAACAGCTTGCTACACTTGATTTATAAACAACCTCAACAACTCGTCTCAGAATTTCTATGATGTATTGATTTGAATACCTTATTACTTCAAAACTTCTTTGCTTTGTCCCCAAGAAGCATGAAATTAGCTTAGCAACAATCACCAAAGTATTTTTTTAATTTTAATAATGCAAATTGCAAAGTTGACAACACGGATTTGAGAGCTACAAGCAACACACACGACAGAAAAAAAATTTAAATAAACAGCGAAACATAAGAAGATAAGACAATCTTTATTCATTGCTACGCATGGTCACATAATGTAAGGTAATTATTACTTTTCGGTGGAAAAAAAGTTAAAAAGTTCCCATAAATGACCGGAAGGTAATAAACCATAAGAAGAAGCAACAAAAATAGAGAGAAAAATGAGGGCAAGGGAAAATTCTAAATTTATGAACCATACTCTTCACTCAATCACTTGACATCTTCTATAGGCAAACTTCAGCTGAGAAACTACAAACAAAAAACAAAAAGCAGGTTCTTTAAAAGAATGGAAGTAACACAAAATTTAAGGGAAGAAAGTTGAATGGCCGAAAAATCACAAACTGTTCGTAAAAAAGGAACTCCCTCCAAAAAGAAGAGAAATAAAAGATCATACTTGTCTTAATGCCCTGAAAGGAATTTATAAAAGTGTCAACAAAGATTGAATTTTGTTCAGCCATTATTAATGGGAAATAGAAAGGCGCATGCAAAGTTGGAAGCATGACAACAAAAAGGGAAAACACATAACAGAGGGTTGGTCTTGGTTCCAGAAATTCGGGGTCCAATTGCTTGGTTGAAGCAAGAAAAGCAAAGAAAAACGTAGAAGCAAAGCTTAGAAGCTGAATAGCAAAAGTTATTACCTGAAGAACAAGGAGATCAGAAAGGGTGAAGAAGAAGAAGAGTGATTGAAAGTTTGAGAAGAGAGAGAGAAAGAGAAAACTAAGGACCCTCCATTGGGCATAAAGTAAGAAAAGATTTTGCTGTCCGATGTGAAACTCCATGCATTAAAATATGACTTTAATAAAAGGAAAGCGTCTGAGCTTTGTGTAATTTCCATCTTTCAAAGCAAAATTTGTTGTGTCACTTCATTTTATTATTTTATATTTAAGGGTAAGGTACTGTCACCTTTTTAATAATATTCCGCCGAACATATACCATGGAATGCACCTCAGTGCCAATGGTCCTGCTTTTCTGATCATTGAGAGCGCACCGTTGATTTATTCTTCTTGTATGGAATCCATTTCTTCAAATTATGAGCTACATGCCAAAACATCATTTTAATACCCACTTCAGACATCTATAATATATGTTAAGAATATATATTCTCAGTATTTCTCTTTTAAGGTACTCTTTTACATGATTGATGTATGAAATATTTACTGATCAATTTATTTACTGTGCATTGGATGTATAACAAGATTTATCATATTATAAGTATCATTGTTGTTAAGAGGGTCTAAATTACTGATCGAGCTAAATACACGAGTTATGTTATTGTAAATTTTCTTTCTATTACATGATGAATAACAAACAAAAAACGAGTCATTGCAAAATTGGAGGGAAGAAAAAAAATGCACACTCCGTTTATTCAGCCTTGGTGGGATTCAAATTCGCAGATTCTTCTTATAAACTTAGAGGATCAATAAATCATTGATCAGAGTAAAACTGGATTTAATCTGCTTAAAGAAAGCTTCTGATTCAAGCCTGTGAGAAAAGAAATGATTGAAAATAAATATCTCGTTAAATATGGTTAATTATGTTTTTTAATAAAGATTAATTATCAACTAATGTATAATAATTAAATTATTTAGTAAAATCGTAACATTTCAGTCAACATAAAATGGAGTAACATTTTATACGAAAAATAAAACTTGAAATGTATTTAACACAATTTAAAAAAGAAATAAAAGAAAATAGAAAAGTATGGTATCAATAAAGAGATCAACAAAAGAAAGAAAAATATTTATAGTAAAAATTATGAAGTGTTGGGAAATAATATTTTGGTGAGTTGTGCAACGTTGGAGGAGTGTGGTTGGAGGTGGAAGAGACGCGCGCAGAGGGGAGCGTGGAGAAGAATCCGATATGAGTGAAGAGGTTATCTGTCGCGCTCTGAACCCGGCAATCCAAAATTAAAAGCCGCTTTCTTGTCCCCCAAAACATCATTTCTCTTTGCCCTGTTTTTCTCTGTCCCCTTCAACACTCTTTTCTTAATTAATTAATGCTCTCTATGCACTCTCAAATTTCAAAATCTCTTTTCTTTTTCAATAATGTGTAGTGGACACCAATATTTAATTACGCATTTACACTAAATATATTAAATAATATAATCAAAGTTTAAATATTTTTTTATTTACTTTTTTAACCTCTATAATTTAAAACATCTCTTTTAATTCTTATCCATAGTTTTATTTTTAACTATCATTTATTTTTATGAATATCAATTTTGTTACCATGATGTATCAAGCAAACATTATTTTGATATGACGATTTTTAAGATATTTATTTTATTTAAACACATTTTGATTTTAATTAAAAAAATAGTTTTTATATTTTAAAATATTTTATTTTAATTTATATTTTATTTCTTTTATTCACGTCATTTATTTTTCATTATTATCATTTATATTGTGAATATGTGACAAAGATTATTTTAAAGTGATATTTTTAATATAAATTTTTTATTCGTTGAAATTACTCTATATTATATTTCATCATCCAATTATGACAAGTTGACAACTTTGTATTTGGTTTTAAACAAAGGATTGTGAATTGTTGAGTTTTAATTGTTGATTTCTTATGAAAAGAGATATTGCGAGAGTTGAAGGTGCTAGAAGATGAAATCTATAGAAGATTTAGGTTTGTGATTGACATGAGTGTAAGTCTTGTTTCTTCTAAGAGAAGAGGAAGAAAGTTCAATAGGACTTTAAATATTTGGGTGAAGTTTCTTTAGGTGTCCTAATTATCAGGTGATGTAATTTGTAATTTTGGTTGATTTTCTGTTTTGTTGTGGATGTTTATCAAATTTTGGTGATTTTTCTTTTCATTGGATACTTTCAATGGGTGAATAAACTGATATCTGAACATACATTTTGCATGTCATTTGATCATTTATGATTACTATTTAGGTGTAATTTGCAAATGAAAACATTCCTCTTGTTAAGCATACCTCATGCATGTTATCTAAATAGTTGTGGCAATGGTAGTCTCTTGAGTTTGAACTTTTAACTATGTATCTAGTTAAATACTTGCAATGATATATTTGTCATTTATAATGATTATACCCTACTTAACCAAGATTATTCCGATATAGACGAAAACAAAGTCTGTCCATCTACAATGTTGACCAGACTAAATAAAGTCAAAGCATTAATGACAAATGCTCAGACGAAGATCAAGACTTGAGATGTACATGGACTAACAAACGCAGACGAAGACTGTCATGAAAGCATTTGAAGAATCAAGTCTCAAGGGACAACTCAGGCATCGTCTAGAATCATACAAAAGCTCTCAATATGATCGTGCGTTGAAAGGAAGAAAAGAAAAAGAAGAAATACAAGCGCAAAAGTAAAAGCATGCATGTGTTAGAAAAAGTACATCACTTTTTCATATAAAGACAACGCCTCTACAGCTACGCGACCGGAAAAGGACAAAAAGTTCCTAGGTCGCAGCTAAAGTCAGACACAGCAGCTAACAAACGTAGAAGACTTCACGCAATGTTTATAAACAGGAAGCAACATTTAATGCAAGATCTAATGCATTAAATGAAAGATCAAACTAGTTATGAATGACTACATTCTACTTTAACGGACACTTGCAACGGGCAAATTTTACAAGACTATATATATGTCATGACTTCAAACCTGGAAAGGCTGGCGAAGAGTGATATCAAGCCCATGAAGTAATGGAACCAGAGACAGAGCTTATAGAGTCAAACATACAATATTGTATTTATCTCTGTAGACTAAGGAGTTCTAAGTGTAACTTACAATACCTTAGTAAGTGTAGAAAATATTTGTATCCTCTCTGTGAGAGTAAACCAAACACTCAAACCAAATCATCTATCTATCATTGAGTAAGCCTGAAGAGGCTAGGAAAAGAATACTTGTATAAGCCTGGAGAGACTTGTCAAAGAATATTCACTGAGAGCCTAAAGAGGCTGAACAAAGAATACTAGAGATAGTGAGTGAAGCTAGCCAACTAGGATTGGTTGATAATACTCGGGACCAAGAGTGGTCGAGAATACTCATTGAAAGCCTGAAGAGGCTGAACAAAGAATACTAAAGATAGTGAGTGAAGCTAGCCAACCAGGAGTGGTTGATAATACTCGGGATTAGGAGTGGTCGAGAATACTCACTGAGAGCCTGAAGAGGCGAGGCTGAACAAAGAATACTAGAGATAGTGAGTGAAGCTAGCCAACCAGGAGTGGTTGATAATACTCGGGATCAGTAGTGGTCGAGAATACTTACTGAAAACCTGAAGAGGCTGAACAAACAATACTAGCGCTGACAAGTAAAATTGGCGGGCCATAAGTGGTCAACAATACTTGACAAACTAGAAATGGTGATAATACTTGTACTTCATTGAATATCTAGTTGAACCCTTCAATTGAAGGAGACTGGACGTAACTCAGTCTGAGCAAACTAGTATAAAAATCCTTACACTGCTTACTTACGTTTCAGACGCAAGTTCAGTTAACTGATATATTATATTGAAAACTTCATCCAATGCTTAATTTTCACTATGATTCTTTTCAGACGTAAAATATACGTGCTTAACTTAATATTTCTTAAGAAACATTTTCTTTGTGCAGACGAAAAACTTTCAAACGGGAAATATTTTGTTAAGTCAATCCTGCACAATCTTTAAGTATTCAAAATAATTTTTATTGGACGAAAAAGAATCTTTCTGCCAAAACGATTTCAAAATTTCCTCGTTCATGTACACACATATTTAACCTCCCTTCTATGTGTTTTTCATCTAACTTCATGGGCAATCTGATCTAAATTTTCGCCCTCATGCGCAAGTGATCCTCCAAATCCGTAGCCATTTGGAGAAGTGTTAGACTGTCTTGGTGACACATACTCCTTGTGATTCCAATTCTATTGCTGATATCCTTGCCAAACTCAGGGGAAAGTCTTCTTGGAAGCTAACCACATGTTGTGCTAGATAGCTTCTCCCTTGATTTAGCCTTCCTTTAGTTGGCTTTTTTCCTTTCTCTTGTCTTTGTTTCTTGTTCTTTCGCTTTCTTATTATACCAAAAAAATGTAGATCTTATATTAATATTTATGTATATTATTGAAATAAAATTTCAATTCTAATCAAAGAATTGCACCTAATTTTTTTTGTTTTTTTATACATTTTTAAATTATATTAAAAAATCATGAATAATTTAATAAAATGAAGAAATAATCACTATTTAATTTTTACATTATATTTGTTTATTATAATTGTTTCAAAATCATCACATTCAAAAAAAAACAAACCTCAACATAACTTTAAATTATCAAGTGTTGCATTTGAGAGAGATTTTTTTTATACTTTTTTTAATTATTGTAAAGGTAAATATATATATATATATATATATATATATATATATATATATTTTTTTTTTTTTTTTTTTTTTTCTTAGTTTTTGTATTTTTGTTGCGGGTTTTGGTTTGGTCCCCTACTTGTATTTTGCTTTCTTTTAATATCGGTTCTTATGATGTGTAACATATGATTATTATAAGGTGAGGTGCTAACCAGTTAGGATCTTCTCTCGCATAATGATGCTATTACACATCTACCCTTTATCCCAAAAAAAATAACTGTAGTCCCAATTTGTCCATTACATTTATTTAAATTCAATGTATGTTGGATTGTTCAATAATTTTTTCTTTCTGCTACACAACAATTTTGTTTGGTAGTAACATAAGTGATATTTTTTAAGGATAAAATTAAGTGATAGTTTGTTTTGATGCACTTATATTATTTTTAATTAAAATTAAAGTTTTATTTTAATATTATATAAATTA